GATTTTGATACAGCTAACAATATATTGCAAATAAAGAATGTTTTGGATGTATTGCTCCAGCTCCATCAGAGAAAAGCTTAAATGTTTTATTAGAGGGAAGAGCTACATGTCTTCCAACTCATCACGTTTTTAGTTGTAATTTAATTTGCTTCGATTTCCCAAAAACAAAAAAAATACTTAAACGTTTGAAACCAATATGCATACTATTCCAGGCAATAACTGTTTTATATTTTAAACACAAATATACTTTCTACTAAAAAATTGTATTTTTATTGTTATGATGAAACTGTTGGAAACAGATGGTCTGAAGATGTATGTTCTATGCTGCATGTTTTATGTTGCATAATTTTAAATTATCAATTATCTTAAATGTAAAGGATTTTAAATTGATTTGCAACTTATGTGCTAGGCAAAATATAAAATAAAAAGTTTTGAATTGATTTAATTATCTAGTTAATAAAACTAAAAAAATTGACAGCATTACTGTTTCATTACCAAAACAGAACTCTGTCACATTCTGTATAGACATGACACCTCTATAGAATGTGACAGAAACATGGCCATTGCAAATCAAATGTTTCTGGCAGAAACAATAGACAATCTCACAAAAAACCATAACAATTCAATATTATATATGAACATGATACAAGAAAAGTTTCTGAAATTTTCAGAGTTTCAAAGTCAACCTTCTTAGTTGTTTGTTAATTTAAGACATGTTTACTTCGAGAAATTAAAATATTAAAGGCTAATTAAAAGTTAATTATACGGGAAACTGGATATATTTAATTTTATGTGTGTTACATCCCATATGTTTAGATCAATTCAAACTTGAAATAAGGTGATGAAGCACAGACATCATGGAATCATGGAATCATTTATAGTAAATAGATGAGGTTGGGTAAGAGATAAGGTTACAATGCTATTTTGTATAAAGTTAAAAAAATACTTTCATTTAATTTTTTTTTTTTTTTTTGAATACTTTTATGAAAAGAAAGAGAGGCGCGGCTTTATTAACTTATCACACACTTAGTACGTTGTTACAATGTGTTACCTTCTAACTTTAAAATAATAAGTACTCTAAAAAGTTATAAGCTAACGTGGTTTATGATTTTATGAAATTACAACGGAAAAATTACAGATGTCCAAAATGAGTTTCTTGTTTTCAAAAGAACACTGTGAATAAATAGTTCTTATATTTATCATAAAAACTGCATTTATATATTGTTTGAAGACTAAAATGTCATAACAATAAACTTTTAATTAAATACATTATTACCAAACAGACATCTAATGTCACTAAACAAAAATTTTAATTTTACTCAAAATGAGAAAAATGGGATATCTGTGGTTGTACCTGTGTGTTCTACAAATGATCAACTAATTTTACCAATGTGTGATGAGATAAATATTTTCTTTTAAACCAGATTGCCTACCCTATAATATATTGCTTTTAATTTAATAATTATACAGTCTATTGTACATTATACCAAGTATAAAGAATAAGATAAGTTAGATATAAGCCTGTAACACGAGACAACAATTAAAAAAAAAATTATAAATCCAATATTTTTTATACTAAATTTAAAGTCAGTTTATGTCCAACACACGTTTTTAAAAAACTAAGATTTCTTTTGTAAAGTACGTCATGGTCATTGTAATCTAATTCTGCGTATTGATTGATTGATTCGTCTAACTATCGATTTAAAAAATAATAAAATACAAATTGTATTTTGCTTGTGCTGTTTGCAAATAGAACAAGACTTGGACATCACATATTTGCTGTGTGAGCATATCATTAGGGCTGCATACTTGATTTAAAAGTGTAAGTGGACTTTCTTTTGCAATACCAATAATATGACGAAAGCAATCTGACCATGTATTTTTGTCCCTCCTGATCAAAGTATTTTAAAGAAAAAAAAGAAACTTTGTTAACCCAGCATGCTATTAGCTTTTCAACCAGTTCCATATTTCTCCCAGTTACGTTTGCCAGTACCACCAACATCCAGCCTCAGCTCATTACCTATCAATAACTAGAAAGAGAGCAGCGGTAACGATGCCAACAGTGCCAGTTTAACCACTGGACACACTGGACACGTGCCGGAAGGCTACGGAGTTCAAAGGGCCAGAGCATTTAAGCGAATATTTGAGAGAGATATAATTTAAAAGAAAAAATTATCATCGAACATAATGGTAAAAAAAGAAATTTAGAATAATTGGATACTTTATTAATTGCTCATTCTCATTGGATTATCTTTTCGCGGATCGGACGAAAAACTAGGATTGATACCCAACAGAAACTTTATTGGATATATTGAACTATTAGTAAAATTTGATCCTTTCCTTGCCCAACATTTGATAACTCATGGAAACAAAGGAGAAAACTTTATCTCATACTTATCTAAAAAGATTTGCAAAAAACTCATTCACTTAATAGCCGCTGAGGTTATGAAATTTATGATTAATATAATCATCCTTAAGTTACATTCATTGTTGATTCTACTCCCAATGTACAAAATGGAAAACCAGTTGAGTGGCTCTTAGCATTTATTCTTATGCATAATCATTTTGCAACTTCCTGCTTGAAAACGTTTTGAAAAAGTTAGATTAGTATGCGATCAACATTCAAAATGGCTATGGCCAGTCATACGACAATGCCAGTAATATGTCTGGTATCTATTTTGGTTTACAAGCAAGAATTAAAGAGCTCAACGTTCTTATCGAATAGATTCCGTGTGCAGCTCACTATTTGAACTTAGTAAGAGTGAGTGCCACGGAATCCAATGGAGCTGCTGTTAATTTCTTTAGCTTTCTTCAAAAAATTTATAACTTCTTTTCTGCATCAACGCATCGATGTCTTAAAATCCAAGCTCTTTGCATTAACGCATCAACGCATCTTAAAGTCAAAATTCCTTGATGGAATACGTGTTAAGGTTCCCTAGACTCTCTCATAAACTCGTTGGTCAGCTCGTGTTGATGCTTATTAAGCAATTAAAAATGGTTATTCTATTTACAAGGTGATTAAGAATTATTTATAAATTTTATTTGTAGTTGTGCACACTTATTAACAAATATTTTCTATATAGGCTCTTCTTGATCTTAACGACAATCAGAAATCAAAATCAAGAGCTAAGGTCTTTGGACTTTTGACCAAAATAAAACAACTTGAGACGATTATTTTGATAATTATTTGGAAAAGAATCATGAAATGGTTAACAAAGTTAACAAGAAACTGTAGTTCGTAAAGCTTGATTTAGCTATGGTTGAAGAACTTTCCAACTCCCTGGAGTATTACGTGCAGCATGTTCGCTCTAATTTCGAGCGATTAAAAAAGCTAGCTGTATCTTTAGTCAACTAAATTATTTTTCCATAATTTTGCAAACTATTAATGATATTGATAGTTTGAAGATCTAGCTTATTTCTTTTCTTAAACAGTCATATTTGCAATTAACCATTCATTTGGTACAACACCACTATAATATGGCATTTTATAGATTAGTGATAACGGATGAGAAAGTGATTTTAAACATTCTTTGAGAACAAGAGGATGGACAACACTAATTGTTCTATTTAAATTTAGGTTTATTAACTTATATTTAACATTAGTGTTATTAAAATTTAGGCCGCTGTAAAAAACTTCACATTTTGAATGAAAAATTCTAACAGGCCTATTACCTCATCTTTTAAAAATACTGAAACAAAATACTCTTTAAACTAATTATAATAACTCATAATTTATATATCAACTATATATTATATATCATATATATTTCATTTGTTTTGTCATAATAACAATATCTCAATTGTTGTGTCATAATAACAATATCTCATTTGTTGTGATTGAACCGTCAACAAAATTAAGTTTTTAGTGCTTTTATTGAACCTTTTAAAACTGTTTTTGCTATTTAATTAAGACTTAAAACTTTAAACTTTTGGGATCTTTCAGGTTTAATTCAAAAGCTCTTATCTTTTTATTAACTCTTTTTTATTCTAAACTTTATTTAAGATTTCTTTTTTCTTAAATTTTGAATTATCCATTTCTTTACTATTATTTATTGAATTAACGAGTAAAACCAAAAATATTATCATTGGAAATAATATGATATCAATTTTTTTATCATTTATTAACTAATTTGCACTGATCTTTTCAACTTCATTATTTCCAAATCGAAAGGGATTGTTTAATCATTTTAATTTATTTCCAAATCGAAAGGGATTGTTTAGTCATTTTAATTTAGTTAATTTTTTTAAAGCTTGATATTTAAAAAAAGTTATATAACCCCTTTGTTCAGATTTTGAACAATGTACTTCTTCGATTTTGAGAAAAAAAAAAAAAAAGTCATATAACCCTTTTGTTCAGATTTTGAACTATGTACTTCTTCGATTTTGAGAAAGAAACTTTTTCTTTTTAAATTCAATATAAAATTTATTTTCAAATATAATTTGATGTACCGGTATTACATATCGGTTTAAAGTGATATAACATATTTTCATGACAACAATAAAGCTCATTGTCGTGTATTTTAAAATCTCGTATAAATTGAAACAAATTACAACTCATAAAACATGGAACAAAAAATTATTTGGTCTTTTCGATGTTTCGATGTAAAAAATATATTTATAAAAATTTGTATAAAAAATAACTTAATTTATTCGTGTAAACTTCAGATAAAATTTTTAATACAACTAACTATATACAAAATCCTATTTAAGCTCAATAGGAAACCATATTAGCCTGAGTAAATGTACTTTTTGAGTTCCGTAACTTAAAACATGTATTTAACAGCGAGAAAAGAAGTTAATTGAAAAATATCTGTAACGAATTACTCTATTTTTAAAGAAAATCGTTATTGTAAAAAACGCAAAAATAGTTTCGATCTTAAGAAGAGAGATTTTTTGCAATACTTTAAAAATAGAAATGCTTATAGTTTGTTTTTTTTTTGTCAAATAACCAATGTTTTTGTATAAAAGTTTTTGTTAAAAACGATGAAAAACAGATCTAGTTTAACAAGCCTAAAATTTTTTTAATTAAAATTTAAATTTAAAATACGAAAAAAGAAACTTCACGATAACTTTTCAAAAATAAAACCATGTAAAGAATGACGAAAGGATTTGCTACGATCTTTTTTGTTTGCACGGCGAACGACTTGATCGGTTCCCACATGAATAAACGGTTCAACCATGGTCGCATATGTAAAGGTTTTGAATGTTTCAAGTTCTGTTGGATGAGCGGTACTTACAGATTTTAAACGGATTTTTTTTCGTTCTATACGAAAAAAAAACAATGATTAAAACGTCTGAAAGCAGACTAAAATATAAACTAAACAAGTAAAAAATATACTTTGTTTTAATAAACTTTTTTAAATTTTACTTATTCTAAATACTCTTTTTTGTTTTTATTAATTTAATTATTATATATAATTATATATAGCGTTCACCTGCAATATACTGATTATACGCATTTTCCATTGCAGCTGCACGAACTTCTGTTGAAACGACGAAGCCTAAAGTAAATATTAAAACAATTTTTTTTTCCATAGCACTAGTAGTAGTTCATTTGTTTTTGCTTTTTCAATGTTAACACCAGTTTACTAACACATTCCAGCGTTAGTTAACACCCCGTATGTGTTAAGTAACATATTCCAGTGTTAGCTAACATCCTATGTGTTAACTAACGTATTCCAATGTTAGTTAACACTGTATGTATAAACTAACACATTGCAGTGTTAGTTACAGGGTTCATTAAAACTAAACGGAAAACGCTTTCACTTAAACATTCAATAGAAAATTAAACTTTGAAATAAATTGATATATATCTTTATGTAATGCTCTGTTTCGTTGTTAAAAAAAAAAAAAAAGTTTTAATGTAAAAATGTTAAACCTTTTTGAATTTCTTCATTGACAACTCGTCTTTCTTCAATAAAAGCACTCTTCCATAGAAGCTTTAAGTCTGTGTTTAATACCGAAAACGTGTACCATTTTTGACGTTTTTCACACCAAACTCTAAAGATATTATTAACCGTTTCATTATTTACAGTTACCGATCCATCGGCTAAATCTTCTATTTTCGCTTGGTCTAAATCAATGCGATGTAAATATAATAGCGCTGGTTTTTTTTGAGATTCTTGACGCAGAACAATCAATTGATGATCAAACAAATATAAACTGCATTTAATAAATTTATTGTTTGAAATTTTGTTAAGAGTTCCTTTCTGAAGCAACATACTACTCTTAATTACCAAGTCTTCATCTTTCCAATTAGATATAGAAAGTTGCCACATGGCTAATTTATTAATGTTTTCAAGGCGTCTTTTACGCTCGTTAATCAGTGAAGCAACATTTTGCATACAAGCTTGAGCTTCGAGTAACTGTGAAAAGTCAGGATGATCTACCATAGTGTGTTTAATTAATTCCTGCACAATATATATATATATATATATATATATATATATATATATATATATATATATATATATATATATATATATATATATATATATATATATATATATATATATATATATAATAAGAATAATGATAGTAATAAATTGATAATTTAACTTTGAAATAAAAATTTTTACTTTAATTTGTAATGGATACTTGCAAATCCTCTGAACAGGTGATAGCAAAAATCCATCAAGTGATAAACGAATCATATTTTGACGAAGCCGACATGACTAAAAAATCATGAAAACTTAATACCACCATGAAATTGTTTATAGTAATTAAAAATATTTATATTATAAATTTTAACATAAAAAAATTAATAAACAAATTGTATTGTATATAAATAAATTGTAATGTATGTTAAAGTACCTATGTAAAAGAATTATAATGAAAATAGAAATGCAAAACAAGCTATCTATTATGAAACATATCTGTTTAGCTGTTATGTCAAAATACTATTGCAAAAAACAATTGCAGCTATAATGAATTTAAAAAAAAATCAACCTACAGTGAATTTTCTGTTTAGTCTAAAGAACCAATAGAAGAGACTAATTTTGTTATTCTCTTTTAGATCTCTGAAATAAAAGATCAACAGAGTAGCTTTAGAGTATTAGCTTCAGAATAACTAGATCCTGCTACAGATGCCAAAAATTTAGCAAAAAAACCAAAAGGTTAATTTACTTGCATCAACTAACTGTATAACTAAACAGGTAGTTGAAGCAAGTAAATTAACCTTTTGGTTTTTTTGCACATGTAAAAGTGGGTTCAATACAAGTAAAAGAGGAATAGAAACTCTTTCGGATCAGTGTCTGGGTGATATAAGCGATTATTAATAAGTTATTTTTCATTGTCAGTTTGTTTTGTTTTTTTGAACTGTCATGCATGTTTATAATATAACAATTTATGTTTGAATATGTTGTATAAACATTGCAACTAATAAGTTTTTTTTATGGTTATAGATGTGTTTTGTCAAACAAAAACAATTGCTCAGCTAATGCAATATGTAACAATCTGGTTGGTAGGTACAACTGCACATGTAAAAATGGTTTCAATACGATCAATGCCTAAATAGAGTTGCTCATAAACCAATACTTTGGTGATAAAATATATACATAGTAAACACATTCATTTTAATTAAACGAAATCAACAACAAAAAAAAGTACAAAAGCTTCACACAAACATTAACATAAATATAACAGTTGATTATTAAAATACACAAAATAAAAGATATCTGGTTGTGATAAATTAGTTCTGAACAATTAACAAGTAATTGCAATAATTAGCTTAATTTTTCAACTGAAAATGCTTATCAATTTTTTCTATATATATATATATATAAATATATATATATATATATATATATATATATATATATATATATATATATATATATAAATATATATATATATATATATATATATATATATATATATATATATAATATTATATATATATATATATATTATATATATATATATATATATTATATATATATATATATATATATATATATATATATATATATATATATATATATATATATATATATAAATATAAATATATATATATATAATATATATATATATATAAATATATATATATATATATATATATATATATATATTATATATATATATATATATATATATATATTATATATATATATATATATATATATATATATATTATACATACATATATATATATATATATATATATATATATATATATATATATATATATATATATATATATATATATATATATATATATATATATATATATATATATATATATATAATATATATATATATATATATATATATATATATATATATATATATATTGAAACAATAGTGTTAAATAAAAATGAACACTGGATTTTTTTTTGTTGCTGTTTTTTTTGTTTTGTTTGTTTTTGTTTTTATGATGTACACTACTTTCTAAAAATTTTCAGTACTTACAGAGCATTTCTTGTTGAAGGCGATATAAGCACTTTCTCACAAGACCAAATAGTTTCAGTTTATTGTTAATAATGATATGCATTGTTGAATGCTTTATAATTTCTCTGACATGGAACATGTTTTATATGTTACTAGCTCTATTTTACCATTACATATAAAAACATATCACTAGTTTATTGTTTGTATAGTTTCATCTAAACATTGCATAAATAAAGAGCCAATATTCATTCGAGCATCTTTAGATTATTTTTACTCTACCATTTTGGTGTAACTTACTTGATAGTACCAAGTACCAATTTTGATGCATCATATTTCGCATTCAAAATTCTGTTTTAAAACTGGTTTCTTTTATTGAACTTTGTTTTTTGTTTTCTATATAAAAGAAATTATTTCTTACTAAACCCATTTTTTATTAATGGTTTGTAGACATCAATGAATGTGCCGTGTTTAACAAAAACAACTGCTCAATTAATGCAATCTGTAATAATTTGGTTGGTGGATACTACTGCAGGTGTAGAAGTAGTTTCAATACAACTAATTGAGTTGCTCTCAAATCAATGTCAAGGTGTTATAGCTTTTAATAATAGGCATATCATTGTTTTTTAAATTGTTAAATTTGAATAAAGATTTCTGGAATCAATTATCTATTTTGGTTATAGACATTAACGAATGTACATTGTCAACGAAAAACAACTGCTCTGCTAATGCCATATGTAACAATCAGCCCTCGGAATTAGGGTCAGCATTCAGCAATGCCAACCAAAAAAATTGCCAAACTCATTTCTATGTTAAACCTTTTGTGTCAAATTTAACTTGCCAACCTGATGCCGACCACTAACAGTTAAAGGTCGGCAAGTTATCGCTGACCTTATTTCGAGGGCTGATATGTATATATTTATATGTATACATATGAATATATATATATATATTTATATAAGGGTTTGAACTAACACAAAAAAATCTAATCATGAAAAAGATTTTTTTTTTGCCCTCTCTCCCCATCCTCCCCTTTCTACCTCCCTGGCACCGCTTTGCGGTAATGAGGGGGGGTGCCTTATTATGAAATTGTATCTTTTATTTTTATTTGTTAGTTTGTTATTGTTACTCTTTGAACATTTTATCTTTCATATCTAAATATCATATAATAATTATCTCGTTTGGTGGAGTTTAAAATAATGTAAGTTACTTTTATAATTAACTTTTACTTTAACTTTTGCAATCACTGTTAAATATTTGCAATCGAATGTTTCTACTTTAAAACTATTTTCAAGAAATAAAATATAAATAACTATTCAAAATGTTTACAATTTAAATAAAACTTTCTTCCTCACTACGTTACGCATTACGTTCTAAACCTGATATTGTTACTGTAGCTAAATATACGTTTAACTTTCTTCAATTCTTGATATGCTTGATATTATGGACGCTGCTGTATTAAAAGTATAATTATTGAGCGTTGAAAGACTAAAATTATTTTGTTCAAATAGAAATTTTAAATAAAACTCATAAAAACAACCTGCATATTTATAGAAAGTATTTGATTTAATATCGCTTTTAAAAAATTATTTTAAAAATGTTATCGCATTTTTTATATTCTTTTTCGAGATTTCTTGTTAAAATAATTTTTAGTTAAAAGCATAAATTATGTGTTAACAACATATACAATATAAATAGAAACATTTATAAAGCTAATTTTGGCGAGTCTTTGAGTATATTAAGTAAATTTAATAGTTGAGTAACTTTAAGTTACTGTAGTAATTAATTGGTTGTTTTGATTTAGTTTAAAGGTGAACTTACTGTGATGCATTTAATCCACTCAGTAAATCAAAATAAATATAAATTTAAAATAATATTGAATTTAGGTACTTTGAATCTCTGCTTCCACGCAGAGATTCAAAGTAACTAAATTCAAAAGTTTTTTATGTTGAATAAAATCTCTGCGCAAGAGAGCAAAGATCATTTAATTATTCAAGATTATTCAGATTAATCAAAAGATAAATTCAAAGTGTGACATACTTTATAACACCTAATAAAAAACTTAGAAACTTTACTTTTTAGAGTGCCTAAAAAAGTTAAAAAAGAAAAAAAAATTAACAAAAAAAAAATCGCGAAAATATATAACATAAACATAAAATAAAATATTCTACAAAGAATAACAAAAATTACATATTGTATAGAATATTTAGATAATAAAAACTTTTACCTCAAAAAAAACATTAATTTTTTTCTCTTTTGAAAGAACAGATAGCCGTGCACTTGACCGTGGTTGATTATTACAATAATTTGAGTAGATTTCAAAATTTGATTGCTAAATAAATTGAATATTAAAAAGTTTAATTAAAAGGAAATTATTACAATATACTTTAATTTGAAAATTTGAAAATGAAAAATTATAATTTGAAAAAGAAAATCTGTATCTTTTTCTACATTCTCTAGTTGAGAGGCTAATCATTTTCTAAGCAGTTTTATATCTTGCATTTGATTTAAATTTGTTTAAGAAAGACATTTAAAAACATAACTAATGGCGTAGGTATGTATTTGCAACTCTTTTGATAATGAATTGTAGCTTCTATTGGGTTTTCCCAAATATTTTTGCTTCATTTTTTTTTTATAATGCTTTGCTCTTTTGTCATTTTTAAAAATAATTTTAGGTTTAATGGGAAAACTTAAATTTTATGAAATCGCAACATTTTGTATAAAAAATAAGCACCTATTTAAATTTTTCACTTAAAATATTTCACTATTCACTAAAAAATGTCATTAATTCTTGAGAAAAAAATGATTAACTAAATATACTAAATAAAATATAGCAAAATAAACAAAATTTGGATTTAAAAATATTTATACTTGTTTTTTAATGTTTCTTAATTGTAACTTTTTATCTGAGATTTATTCAAGAAATATTTGCTAGACAATTTTAATATTAAACACAATGTATACATATATTTATATTTACTTATACACCCATAAATAAACTTATACACACTTATATAAATTTATACACCCTTAAATTTACTTAAATTTTCTACTTTATAATTTCTCAGAGAATAATATTTATGCAAATTTGTTCGACCTAAAAATTAAATTTTAAAGACTTTGGTCTATGTTTCCAGACTTTCTATTTCTTGTAATTATGTTAACAGAAAATACTATCTATCTGATTAGTGTTTTACATGACAACACAATGTAAAGTGTTATGTATACAATGTGTTTGTATGTGTTATGTTTTGTTTAAAATTTAAAAAACTGTAATAAAAATCAATATTTTAAACAAAGAATTATTAAAAAAAATTACCAACAGCAATAATGATAATAACAATTACAATAACTGATTTTTAATCATTATAAATGTTAAAAACAAATTAAACTTTAAATAAAAACTTGATAATTTGACAAAAGCTTACATGTTTCAGAAACACAGGGCCAACCACACTTTTCTCCATCCATTCCATATTGACAGCTTTTTGAAGATCAGCTAAAAATACCTGATGAAAAAAATAAAGCTCTTCTATATTGCTGAAAAGTATTTGCTTATCTTCTGGTGTGAATAATCGTGTTTCAGCATCAACTTCCATAACGTAACCCTGAAAAAAAAAAACTCATACATTTTTCTAGTAATAATATAGTGAGTGTATACTAACAAATAAAACTGTATACTTACAAATAAATAAATAAATAAACATACATAAATCTTTTCAGAAAACGTGTGTGGTTGCATGCCTTATACAGCCATGCATATGATTACTAACTTCCGTTATTGAAGTGATAAGATGTGTTTTTGATTTGGATGCTTAATATATTCAAGAAATATTAGAAGTCGTGAATATTTGGTTTTATCGCGGTTATTTTATTTTATTTTTTTGTTGTTGTTGTTCTGATTACATTATAGTTGTTTTGATTACATTATAGAATTAACTTATTATACATTTTTTTTTTAATGTTTTTGGTGGTGGAAAAAATAAAAAAAAATTTTGAGTAGGAAATTTACAAATTAAGTTAAAAAATTTACATAATTGAAACTAAAACTTGTTATTTACGTCAGAGTGCATCGTTAAAACCATTTGCATCGTTAATATTATCAACTAACTTTAACAACAATAGATAAATTAAAAGGAAATGAAACTTTAAAAACTATTGGTTCAACTGTAATAGTGTGTGCACAACATAAAATAATAGAAAGGTTATAAAAAGAATTAAGACATTGGAGGCAAAAACAACATCTGCCATCTCATGGGCAGACATTGTTGTTAATGGAAAAAAAAGTGAAACATAACTAATCAACCTAAACACATCAGTTATAGAACAAAATGAACCAAAAAATAATCTGTTACACCAAATATAATAATATTTGGTGTAACAGATTCCATTGCAACAACCAATTTGGAAAAATAAGCTAATGATTTTAATGTTGTGGAAGAGATATTTAACACAATCAGAAAACCATGTTCACAGGTCTTGGTGAGAATTGTTAGTCAAAAACCTGCTCCAATTTTAGTATGCTTTAAGGACAAAACACAAAGAAATACTATACTTACAGTAGAAAAGTAATTATGCTCACATGAAAATTTGAAGGATATATTCATTAACCCAGAAAAAACATTAGCCAAAAGAGCCTTTGATAGCCTTTGATTATTCTTCATGACAGGAAAAAAAATAATAACTTTCTACAAAATACCTTTGTTTAAGGGATTCAGAGGCAACAGATTGTCAAGATTAACAAACAGCAATAAGAAAAACCTAAAAATGTTATATACAAACGCAACCTCATTAAATAAAAAACTTTATGAACTTTCAGTATTAGCACAGTTAAATAAAAAAGATGTTATAGATTGTAGATTTTGTAAAACAGATGGCAACAGAAACCTGGTTTACTGCCAAATTAGTGTGAAACCTGGAATTTTTTAATATTTTTAGAAAGGACAGAATTAACGGACAAAGTGGTGGATATCTATACACAAAAAGATCTTATAACTTTTTAAATTAACTCTACTGAACTAAGTTATACAGATATTGAACAAATTTTTGCTGATGACTCAACTTTATAATCCTGTCTTGACATAAAGTCTTCTCTTTTCGATCGCCTAGAACAAGCAACTGATCTTGGACCCGATTTCACTTCAGTATAAGATTGGGGTTCACAGTGGCTAGTGAATTTCAACTCTAACAAAGCCCAGATGTTTACTGCAAACAACTACCATAATATGGTCAACATTCCTATATTAATGAATGGAAATCCTCTTACTGAGTCCTCCTCTTTACGTCTTCTTGGATTATCGCTTACTACTGACCTTTCATGGAAACCATATATACAATCGATTGCTAAATTAACTTCTGCTAAGTTTGCTTCTCTTTATCGAGCTCGCCATTTCCATACTTTTGATTCCATTCTCTACCTCTACAAATCTCTTATTCGTCCATGTATGGAATACTGTTGTCATATTTGGGCTGGTTCTTCTAACAATTCACTTTCTCTTCTTGACAAGGTCAAAAAACGCATTGTAAATGTTGTTGGACCTGGACTATCTGCTAAGCTTGAGCCTCTTTCCCATCATCGTAAAGTCTTTTCTACAAATACTATCGTGGTCACTGCTCAAAGGACCACGATAGTATTTGTAGAAAATCTCTAGTTCCATCAACTAAAATTTATTCTTGTTTTACTCGTCATTCAGCTAAGTCTCATTCGTTTACTGTATCTGTCCCTGCATGCTCTAAAAACTTTTATTCATCTAGTTTTTTTCCCCGCACTTCAATCCTTTGGAACTCTCTCCCATCTTCATGTGTTCCTGACTCATACAACCTTCAACTTTTCAAGTCTTTTGTCAACCGTTTCCTTGCTCTATAACTCTGTTCTTTTTTTTCCTAGTAACTCCCAACTTAATAGTGGTTGCTTGCAGCCTTATTGGGAGTGAATGCAAATAAAAAAAAACTAACATTCTTGATATTATATTTACAGAAAATTCAAATCGTTTTTCTGAACTTTACATCAAATCCTCCTTTAGGTAATATTGTTCATACACATATGATATTGACTTGGAACTACTTGATAAGGGCTAATAATATCAATAAAAAATTTATTTCAAGTTATATATATAAAAAAGGTGATTATGTTACAATAATAAAATATTATAACTCAATTAATTGGAAAGCAGTATTTGGGGATAATATCAATCAGAAATGCCAATCAGTGTTATGACAAATTTTTAAAATTATATATGATGGCCTGTAACAAGCTTATCCCACATTCTAAAAAATAAGGACAACCACGACATAAATAAGGACAACACGGCAGAAATAATTTCAAATTATTAGCAAAATATAAACTTATTAAAACTAAGATTTGACATTCCATTGAATTAGCTTCGAAACAATTTGAACATGACTTAACTAAAAGTTCTAAATCAGATTCTAAGAGATTTTATACTGACCCAGCAAACTAAAGTATAAAGAAGGAATTCGCACTTTAAGGTTTCCAGATAAAACTGTGAGTGATAACCTTTTAGATAATAGAAATTTTTTAAAGACATTTTCAATCTGTCTTTACTGACAACGATAACAAAGCCTTATCAAGTTTTGATCCTGTTACTCGTGTTCATTGTGAAAATGATATAAACAAAATAATCAGTTCATAAAAAATTCTTGTACAATTAAAATCATTGGATAAATACAAATCCTGTGGAAACGATGGAGTCTGTATGTACTGAGTACCTGTTCTTTAAGTCTGAGTATTCCTATTGAACATATTTTTAAACTATCGCTTAAATCGGGAGTGGTACCAAAAGCATGGAAAGACTCAAATATAGTTCTAATTTTTAAAAACTTGCTCCTTCCAACTATAGACCTGTTTCTCTTTCGTCAATTATTTGCAAAATTTTAGAAAGGATATTAAAAAAAATCATTCTGCATCTTTTAGATAATAATTTGATAAATAAGAATCAGCACAGTTTTTTACCAGGTAAATCTTGCTTTACAAAATTTACTTAAAAGCCAAGATATTGTAAACCAGGGTTGCCACCATTATTTAGGAACAAAATTCTCTGATTTTCCCTGATTTTTTTGCCAAAATATTCCTCATTGCTCCCTGATTTTCCCTGATTTTTTGCTAAAATTTTGCTTTTTTCTCCCTGATTTCTCCAGATTTTTCCCCTTGAATTTTGCCTATTTCCACCTGATATTTCCAGCATTCAAATGCCCAAACTTAACTTTTAAACTTCTCCAATAACCCCAGAGTATTCTTACCTCTAAAAAAACAGATACTATAATCCCCAATGAGTAATGAACCAATCAATTTACTTGAAAATTACAATAAATAATCAAATACTTCAATCAACATATGAAATTTTTCTTTGAACCAGGGTATATTTAAAACGGATATATTCAATAGCCATTGAAAACCTGTCAGATTTATCTAGGGTACAAGATAATGAAATTCAAAAAAATGTAATGAATGTAATAAATTTCTAATTGTATGTTTTACATACATCTTTTAATACTTTTTGCTTTTCTCTAAGTCCCAATATTTCTTGATCTAAAAGCACGCTATTTTCTTTTGCTTGGAGTTTTCTATTTTCCTCCTAATAGTTTTTATATTGTAATGATGCACTACAAACAGCATTTATCATTTCATTGTTTATTTCTATTTTGCTAGCCTTCAATTTGTTTGACTCCATAAAATCCTTGATAGTGCGATGAGATATAAGTGACATTCCTTTCATTTTTTCACTGAGCATATTACTGGTAATACTGAAACCTCTCTCAATTGATGCTTGCCCAAAATAAATATAAAAACTTTTGACAAAATCTTATAATCTACACTAACTTTAATGGTTTCAAAATGAAAGTTGTTCAAACAATTTCCTGTGTAAAAATATTTGAATACAAGTAAAAGAATAGATGAACTTTCCTCTAACAACTTTAGAAATTTTATGAAAGCTTGATCACATTCATTTGAAATAATATGTGAGCAAGAAAGAACTAGATGTAGTACAGATTTCATCTGATGAAGATCAGCTTTTTGTTGAGAAAAATTTGACACTGGACTGATGCAACCAGTTGCATTCAGAAAAAAAATTCGATTCAAACTTCTTTCAAATATTTTTTCCAGAATTCCAATGATAACGAGACGTAATCTTTTAAATAATGATAATGCATCTTTTTTCATCAATTCGATTATGTCATGTTCTGCAGCAAATCCAATTGTCATTAATTTTAATAGCAGAAAGTTTTCCTTTTTTGTAAAATCATATTTTTGAAGTTGCCTGCCATTAACGATGCTGCTAAGGATATCTTGTTTTATAATTAAACCCATTAAACATTTAACAGTTGAGAACAAATCTTCAAAAAGAAAAGGAATCATTGGGGCATTGGTTTGATATCTCAGTAAGATTTTATGCAAAAAACTTGCAATGTAACCAAAAAACTACAATTTAGTCAAAGTTAACTCATCTTTTGTTCCCCCGAATCAGAGTTGCTAGTCCTTGGCCTTGACCTTGCCTTAAGACCAAAAATTGAGGCCTTGGCCTTAATTTTGCTTTGAAACTGTTAGCCTTCGACTTGGTCTTGACCTTGAAAATTTTGGTCTTGGCCT